GGAGGAAATGGCTCTTTCTTTGGCGTGGCAGGCCGTATTGCATAGTGATTCTTAAGGATTGATTTAATATCTGATGTTGCGTGGGGACACATAACGTCAAATGTAAGAATATTTTATCGTATGAAAAAAGAAAATACATGCGGATTAGAAGATTTAATACGAATATGAACAGCAGAGAACACGACGTGTACAATGCATACGCGATGGACACTGGGCAATCAAACTGTCATCGTTCGTTTTATTTTTATTTTATTTTAAAATTTCATAACAGTGTTCCAGAATAAAAAGAATCCAGCTAGAATACCTGAAGAAGAACACGGAAGGTGTTCAGAAAACATTTGTGCTTTAGAGTTACCGTTTCACATCGGTTACAGGCTTAAGTAAGTGGAGTTTTATTATACAACCCAGTGTGCATGTAGGAGTTATATAACTTATAATACAATCACCAGCAGCATTCGCACCAACCATCACTGTCAATTGATCTTTGGCAGCCTTAAAACCTGAAAAGGTTTTCTCTTTACCCACGATAAAAGTTCTTTTAGGCATCTTCTTCCAGAACAGATCAGTCTCATCTACATTGAATATGGTTTGGCTGGTAAAGCCACCTTCATCTATAATAGCTTTAAATTTCTCTGGATAGTAAGACACAACTTCTTTATCAGCACTTGCTGTCTCTCCACTTTCTGCAATGCTATGCCAATTACAGTGACTTTTGAATTGGCTGAACCAACTATCACTAGCTTTAAACTCTTCATCTTTAGCCACCTCTCCAGCATCCTCTTTCAATCTCTCAAAAATCAGCTTAGCTTGAGAGCACACCGTGTTTTGATCAACAGGACAATTTTTCACATTTACTTGATTATCACACCATAATTTTAACATTGTTTCCATCTCAGTGATAATACTGTGACGTTTACGAATGATGCTTGAATTTAAAGATTGAGCATTTTTCACAGCTTCAAGAATTTTTTCTTTACCTTTTGTAATTGTTCTGACCATCGATTCCGGTAGATCAAACTTCTTTGTCAATTCACAAATTTTCATTTTTCTATTGAAGTCTTTAATAATGCTAACTTTACATTCGAAAGATAAAGTTTTTCTTTTCTTGTTTGATGCAGAAGAATCAGTTCTACTTTGTTTAGATGACATAGTAGTCTCTCAAGTCTCTGTAGATATAATAGACACGGAAATAAATAACACAAAATAAATTGTAGCTATGCATTGATTCCACACGACACATCCGAACATGTAAGCTGAACAATAGTGTGGAGGGAGTGAGTAATCAAGAGTTGCGTGGTGCTCAAACAAAAGACAAAGCGACAAGATTTGAAAATCGCACAAGTCGAGGTATTACTGTATATTTCTATTATAAAAAACTATTTAAAATGCATAAAGTATTCATTTTAAAATACTATAAATGGAAAAAAAATTTATATTATGCTGATTATGAAATATTATTTATTAATTTTTGTTTTGTTTTTACTTTTTAATAAAATTAACCACTGTTATACAATTAATTTGTTTTCTGTACAGCAGTTCTAATAATGTATATTTAGGTTGCAATAATATTGATAAATTTAAAATATCCAGTTAACTCCAAAATGAGAAAAATAAGTTGAGAAAAATTTGCAATTTAAAATTATCATTCTTTATTGCATATAGATGAAGATAGCTTAATCAATTTGCTTTTTTATATATTTTTATTTAGTACAGTTATCTCATTATTCATTTATTTCATTTTATTTACTTACTCTTCTTATCCTCTGGGGACTTAGAAGGCTTAATTATTTAATTAATTGTGGAAATTCATAGACATTTTGAAATGGGTATAATTAGAATGAAAGCATAATATATTGCAAAAATATTTATTTATGTGATTAAAAATTGTCATTAATATAAACATCTTTTGTTATATGATACTATTAATATGAAGTTAGAAGTGTATTCAGAAAGTACTGTTTAGCTTTAAAAACATGAGAAAGTTTTTACAAGGAATTTTATTTTATCACTTTCTGTTTATTAATTGATTTAGATTAGCAGAATTCTTACACATTAAAATGTTAATAAAGGAAACTAGACTTTAGGATGAGTGTGTTGTGTCCACACTTAAGTTTCTGCACTAAAGCATAAAACAGCTAGAAGACAACAAGCTTCCTTCTGAACAACAATGGAAAACATACAGGAAGCAAGGAGCAAATTGTATGGTTTCACATTAGACAAATTGCAACAAAGTTTGGCAAAAACTCCAGATATTGAGAAATTAGTTGAAGGAAGACAGTGTAGAATTTAGGATTAAAATGAAGTATATATCACTTGTTTCAGTGAGTATTGAAAGAAGGTGCAACTTTGTATTTAAAAATTTAGAAATGCACAACATTGTTAGTTATAATTTATTTTTATTTTACGATAGCAATGAGTAACATTTTAATTATGTTTGTTAGTTTTGCTAGTTATGTACATACCTATCATATTTTTAAAAAATGTGGAATTTTTGTATCTTTGAAAGTTAAGAAATACAAATTTGAATGTGTAAAAATACAATCCATTTTAGTTCTCTTAAAATATTTTATTATTTGCACAAAAAGTCATTAATTCAATTATTGTTATATGTAACATAAATCCTGCCTAAAGTTGCACCTAAATTTAGGAAAAAACTGCATCTTTTCTTTGCATCTAATTTTTATATTATTTTATTAATATAAAAATTGCTCCTTTGCAGNAATTGCTCCTTTCTCTCTTCCTTGGCATGTTGTGAAATTTCTGATAGTTGGACAATAAACCGTTTTATTGTAATTTGTCTTTTTAAATTATTTTGAGTTGATATTAAAATTTGGAAAAGGGGGGATACCTAGATTGGTAAAATAGGCGAATTTCCTCCTACAACTTCGGTTGTTGTTCAGGGTACAGTTAAGGTTTTAACAAAGTTCAAGCGAATACATAATTAGCAAAAAAAGTTGAAATACAGTGATTAAACAAAAATTATTACAAACTACTCACCACATCTCAATAATAATCACATACACTGAACCAATTTACAGTGTGGTATGATAAATAATGAAAAAATAATGAAAAACAAACGTTTTCAAACCCCTTCTGTGCTCTTCATCAGGTTCCTACAGTTTTAGCTCGTAAATTCGAATTTACGAGCTAAAACTGTAGGAACCTGATAAACTGTTTTTCGTTATTTTTTCATTGTTTATCGTACCACACTGTAAATTGGTTCAATGTAAGTGAGTAAAAATTATTACAAATATCGTAAATAACAGTTCACAAATGCATAGAGAGATTTTTTGAAGGGGGAAATAGCCTTCACAATTTGAAATCGATCGAACACACAGTATAAATGCGCGCCATCTATCATAGGATAAATGTACTATGCCAGAAACCTTCGCAGGAGTGTATTAAAAACTTCCCAAAGCTTCATGGCAGTCCTACTATGCCAGAAACCTTTGCGGGAGTATATTAAAACAACTTCCCAAAGTTTCATGGCAATTGGATAAACGGTGTGGTAATGCATGAAGGACAAACAGACAGACATACATTCATTTTTATATATATAGATAAAAAGATTTTATTTGTTTGTTCTTTACTAAATATTAAAAATATATTTGAATATGTCTGTAATGTTAAATTAAAAATGTATAATAATGATAATACAGTATTAATCAGATAATAACAAAACTGCATCTTTCTGTTAGTACTCTCTTCCTAATTATATTTTATTGAAATTAAGCATGAAACTGAACCTAGTAATTTTTTAAAGTAGATAAGTACAGTAGACTCCCCCTATAACATGGGTTCATATAACACGGATTTGTATAACATGGGAAAAAAATTGCGATCATGTTCATATAACACGCTAAAAGAGACTCGTATAACATGGTAAAACATCATCGCCGACTTGTGTTGTGACAGGATTGGTCGAATCTGGACCAATAGCAGATATTGCACAAACCGTTGAGTTTAAACAAGCACTGAACCTACTGAAAAACATTTATTATTCAACGGCCATAAAAACTATATTTTTATTAATGATGTCTCCAAAGTTTAGCGAATTTTTCTCAGAAAAATAACTTATCAGAAAACGCGCCCACTGTTCGATCAGCCGCTCTGCGATGAAAATGAGCTTAAGCAATTGCTTTGTCGAACGGTGCACACTCGGTAAGTAATCCTACAATTTTTTGTTTATAGCATAGTTTATATAAATTATTCCCAAAAAATTATGTGTTTTGGAAATGTTGAGTCAAATTAGTGTAGAATCGATTAATTTTATGGAAGAAAACCTTTCAAACAGCCATAGTCCCTAAACTGCACCTGTGCCGGGCTGTGATTGGCTCATGTATTTAAGTGACTCATACAACACGGAATTCATTTAACACGGAACGTATCTACCATGTTACAGGGGGGATCTACTGTAGAATGATTATCTAGTCAGATTTTATTGTACTGTTTAATGTACTATTTCATTTTAGTACATTAAACAGTACATTTACATTTGTACATTTTTATATTCTCTGTGCAGAAAACAATATTTAATATGTCTACTTGAACCAGAAAAAGAAAAGAAATGATACTATGTACTGAGCAATTATTTATTAAAATATGGTAACCATTCAAGGTGAAATAAACAATTAGCATTTATTATGTGTTTATATATTACATGTATGGAGCACAATGTAATTATATACAGTAATACCTTGAACTTATGTGATAGGTGGGAGCAAGCGATAACTCAGTAAGTCAGGATATAATTTCACGTATAAATACATACAAATTATTTTTAATTAGGGCCAGAGACTAAAGAAAACAATAATTTAGAAAAAAATGTTTAATAAAATCTTAGATAATACATATATAACAAATTATGTTATTAAAATTGTAAACTAAAATTATTTTGATGTAGAAGGCTTCAAAAAATGTAATAAATTTGTCTGATGGCTCAAAGTTTTGTTTTCTCCTGCAAAATTTCCTCATAGTGTGCTAATAATTTTTTTTATTTCTCATTTTGTAGAAGAAATACACTCTTCATTGGCGTCTATATTTTCTAAAATTTGTAACCCCTTTTCAATTGAACTGAGGCCATCTGTCAAGTTACCAACCATCATTCTATCTTCTGATTGAACTGGGTCTAAAGAATCAGGTTCTTCAATGTCTTGCTCTTGCTCACGCATTTCTATGAGCTCATCAATTGTCAGCTCCTGATTGTGGGAATCCAGCAGTTCTTGAAGGTCATCACTATCCACTTCTAAATTTATTTGCCTGGCAAGATCTACAACTTCTTCAATCACATTACCAATTTCATCAGGCTCTGGCACTGATTCTGCCTGAGTTTCAGTGGTGAAAAAAAAGAACACAGTTTTTTCCAGACTTCATTTAAAGTTTTTTGTGAAACTTCATTCCAAGATTGTCCAATGATTCTCTCTGCATCTAAAACATTGAATTGTTTCCAAAAGTCTTTAACAAAGAGCTCATTGTTTTGTCTCATAGCTTCATGCAAATGTGCAAACGATCGTCTTGTGTAATAAGCTTTGAATGTTTTGGTGACTCCCTGATCCATCGGTTGAAGCAAACTGGTTGTATTTGGTGGCAAAAATACAACTTTCACACGTGGGTCAAAATTAGTTAAAGTTGCAGGGGGATGGCCTGGTGCGTTGTCAATTATTAGCATCACTTTAAATGGAATTTGTTTAGATTGGCAATAACATTTGCCTTCAGGTATGAAGTGATGACCAAACCAGTCCTCAAAAAGGGAAGCTGTCACCCAAGCTTTACGATTCAACTTCCAAATCACAGGCAAGCCAGCTTTAGATTTATTTTTCAATGCTCTTGGATTTTCCGAGCAATAAACTAAGAGTGGTATAACTTATAATACAACTCACTTATTTAAGCCTGTAACCGATGTGAAACGGTAACTCTAAAGCACAAACGTTTTCTGAACACCTTCCGTGTTCTTCTTCAGGTATTCTAGCTGGATTCTTTTTATTCTGGAACACTGTTATGAAATTTTAAAATAAAATAAAAATAAAACGAACGATGACAGTTTGATTGCCCAGTGTCCATCGCGTATGCATTGTACACGTCGTGTTCTCTGCTGTTCATATTCGTATTAAATCTTCTAATCCGCATGTATTTTCTTTTTTCATACGATAAAATATTCTTACATTTGACGTTATGTGTCCCCACGCAACATCAGATATTAAATCAATCCTTAAGAATCACTATGCAATACGGCCTGCCACGCCAAAGAAAGAGCCATTTCCTCCCGGGAATTAATGCATTCAGATGATGTGTGCGCCTTATATATCTCTATAGCCTCCTGCCATTTGAGGTGGTCCATCTGTGTCGTTTTGACTATTAACGCTGCCCCTGCGAAGTCAACAGTAATATCCGGGTCAGAAGCATATACTGAGAGTGACGTGGTGGCTCTGTTGTATCATATGTCAGATTCGTGTTCTCTTATTCTTACTCCCATCGGGCGTTTCGTAGACACTGTATAGATCAAATTCCTATTGAATCTTTCATCTCTAACAGGGATCCGATAGATGCCCGGCAATTTAATCGGGTTAGATGGGTCCTTTTCATTACGCAACATGTCAAACATAGTTGGACCTCTCTTGTAAGCCAAGCTGACATTACGTCTTTTGGCTATAGCTGTATATACAGATCTCAAGATAGGGTTGAATGTAATCAAAATCCTTTCAACATCAATACCGTGGTTGTCCCTCAGTGTCGTCATAGAGATGTTGTGAGACATTGCTGCTATTTTGTGGCATTCTGAGATTCTTGGAATAAGATTATGGTAGCCATGCATATCGGCAATCTTTTCAATGCGTGTTAACTCTTCCCTAAGTGCCTCTTGTGTAGATGAATAAGAATATGCTCTTAACACGCATTGAGAAGATTGCCAATATGCATGGCTACCACAATCTTATTCCGAGAATCTCAGAATGCCACAAACATCTCACAACATCTCTATGCAACAATGTCTCACAACATCTCTATGACGACACTGAGGGACAACCACGGTATTGATGTTGAAAGGATTTTGATTACATTCAACCCTATCTTGAGATCTGTATATACAGCTATAGCCAAAAGACGTAATGTCAGCTTGGCTTACAAGAGAGGTCCAACTATGTTTGACATGTTGCGTAATGAAAAGGACCCATCTAACCCGATTAAATTGCCGGGCATCTATCGGATCCCTGTTAGAGATGAAAGATTCAATAGGAATTTGATCTATACAGTGTCTACGAAACGCCCGATGGGAGTAAGAATAAGAGAACACGAATCTGACATATGATACAACAGAGCCACCACGTCACTCTCAGTATATGCTTCTGACCCGGATATTACTGTTGACTTCGCAGGGGCAGCGTTAATAGTCAAAACGACACAGATGGACCACCTCAAATGGCAGGAGGCTATAGAGATATATAAGGCGCACACATCATCTGAATGCATTAATTCCCGGGAGGAAATGGCTCTTTCTTTGGCGTGGCAGGCCGTATTGCATAGTGATTCTTAAGGATTGATTTAATATCTGATGTTGCGTGGGGACACATAACGTCAAATGTAAGAATATTTTATCGTATGAAAAAAGAAAATACATGCGGATTAGAAGATTTAATACGAATATGAACAGCAGAGAACACGACGTGTACAATGCATACGCGATGGACACTGGGCAATCAAACTGTCATCGTTCGTTTTATTTTTATTTTATTTTAAAATTTCATAACAGTGTTCCAGAATAAAAAGAATCCAGCTAGAATACCTGAAGAAGAACACGGAAGGTGTTCAGAAAACATTTGTGCTTTAGAGTTACCGTTTCACATCGGTTACAGGCTTAAGTAAGTGGAGTTTTATTATACAACCCAGTGTGCATGTAGGAGTTATATAACTTATAATACAATCACCAGCAGCATTCGCACCAACCATCACTGTCAATTGATCTTTGGCAGCCTTAAAACCTGAAAAGGTTTTCTCTTTACCCACGATAAAAGTTCTTTTAGGCATCTTCTTCCAGAACAGATCAGTCTCATCTACATTGAATATGGTTTGGCTGGTAAAGCCACCTTCATCTATAATAGCTTTAAATTTCTCTGGATAGTAAGACACAACTTCTTTATCAGCACTTGCTGTCTCTCCACTTTCTGCAATGCTATGCCAATTACAGTGACTTTTGAATTGGCTGAACCAACTATCACTAGCTTTAAACTCTTCATCTTTAGCCACCTCTCCAGCATCCTCTTTCAATCTCTCAAAAATCAGCTTAGCTTGAGAGCACACCGTGTTTTGATCAACAGGACAATTTTTCACATTTACTTGATTATCACACCATAATTTTAACATTGTTTCCATCTCAGTGATAATACTGTGACGTTTACGAATGATGCTTGAATTTAAAGATTGAGCATTTTTCACAGCTTCAAGAATTTTTTCTTTACCTTTTGTAATTGTTCTGACCATCGATTCCGGTAGATCAAACTTCTTTGTCAATTCACAAATTTTCATTTTTCTATTGAAGTCTTTAATAATGCTAACTTTACATTCGAAAGATAAAGTTTTTCTTTTCTTGTTTGATGCAGAAGAATCAGTTCTACTTTGTTTAGATGACATAGTAGTCTCTCAAGTCTCTGTAGATATAATAGACACGGAAATAAATAACACAAAATAAATTGTAGCTATGCATTGATTCCACACGACACATCCGAACATGTAAGCTGAACAATAGTGTGGAGGGAGTGAGTAATCAAGAGTTGCGTGGTGCTCAAACAAAAGACAAAGCGACAAGATTTGAAAATCGCACAAGTCGAGGTATTACTGTATATTTCTATTATAAAAAACTATTTAAAATGCATAAAGTATTCATTTTAAAATACTATAAATGGAAAAAAAATTTATATTATGCTGATTATGAAATATTATTTATTAATTTTTGTTTTGTTTTTACTTTTTAATAAAATTAACCACTGTTATACAATTAATTTGTTTTCTGTACAGCAGTTCTAATAATGTATATTTAGGTTGCAATAATATTGATAAATTTAAAATATCCAGTTAACTCCAAAATGAGAAAAATAAGTTGAGAAAAATTTGCAATTTAAAATTATCATTCTTTATTGCATATAGATGAAGATAGCTTAATCAATTTGCTTTTTTATATATTTTTATTTAGTACAGTTATCTCATTATTCATTTATTTCATTTTATTTACTTACTCTTCTTATCCTCTGGGGACTTAGAAGGCTTAATTATTTAATTAATTGTGGAAATTCATAGACATTTTGAAATGGGTATAATTAGAATGAAAGCATAATATATTGCAAAAATATTTATTTATGTGATTAAAAATTGTCATTAATATAAACATCTTTTGTTATATGATACTATTAATATGAAGTTAGAAGTGTATTCAGAAAGTACTGTTTAGCTTTAAAAACATGAGAAAGTTTTTACAAGGAATTTTATTTTATCACTTTCTGTTTATTAATTGATTTAGATTAGCAGAATTCTTACACATTAAAATGTTAATAAAGGAAACTAGACTTTAGGATGAGTGTGTTGTGTCCACACTTAAGTTTCTGCACTAAAGCATAAAACAGCTAGAAGACAACAAGCTTCCTTCTGAACAACAATGGAAAACATACAGGAAGCAAGGAGCAAATTGTATGGTTTCACATTAGACAAATTGCAACAAAGTTTGGCAAAAACTCCAGATATTGAGAAATTAGTTGAAGGAAGACAGTGTAGAATTTAGGATTAAAATGAAGTATATATCACTTGTTTCAGTGAGTATTGAAAGAAGGTGCAACTTTGTATTTAAAAATTTAGAAATGCACAACATTGTTAGTTATAATTTATTTTTATTTTACGATAGCAATGAGTAACATTTTAATTATGTTTGTTAGTTTTGCTAGTTATGTACATACCTATCATATTTTTAAAAAATGTGGAATTTTTGTATCTTTGAAAGTTAAGAAATACAAATTTGAATGTGTAAAAATACAATCCATTTTAGTTCTCTTAAAATATTTTATTATTTGCACAAAAAGTCATTAATTCAATTATTGTTATATGTAACATAAATCCTGCCTAAAGTTGCACCTAAATTTAGGAAAAAACTGCATCTTTTCTTTGCATCTAATTTTTATATTATTTTATTAATATAAAAATTGCTCCTTTGCAGTCTTTATTTTAGTACAGTATATTATTGGCTTAAAAAACTTTAAATTTAATTTAATGAATGTTAGATTAGAAATATTATTTAAGTTTTTTATTTATGATTTAGAATAGATTCATATTATAATTAAAAAGAAAGTTATATTAAAAATAATCTTAAAATTTACATTTTAAATTTTAACTTTCAGATGCTTCTTAAGCCAAATATTAGATACAATTTAGAAAATAAAGAAAGCATTAGATTGGCAAATTTAAAAGCTTTTATTGCTATAGAGGATGCAAATGTAAGAATTTTACTTCAAATTTTTATATAAGAATTTATCTTACAACTTATTTTAAATAGAAAAGTATTATAATATTTTATGATATTTTAATATACTGTGTAATAATAGTTTTTTTTTTGCAATAAAAATGATCTCAAATAAAGTAATTATACAAAAAGTAATTTATATTATTAGTTTTAAAAAATTTTATATTATTAATTTGACAATTGAAAATCTGAATAATAATACTAATAAATATTTGTCATCACATTTGGAGATCTTGTATAAAACTATCAAAATTTCAAGTCTACTCACCTTAAAGCAAACACTGATAAAGTGAATTCTTGCATTAAAGTAAATATTATCATTGTCCATTGTCACAATGCTAATTTTTAAGTGATAAAGCAAACAAGAATTTTACCAGAATTCATTACCAAACTGTAAATTACCTTCAAAACCCCAAGAAATAATCCCACTTCCAATAATGGTTGCTTTTTATACTTTTCAATGTGAACAATAAAAAGTTATATTGTAATAAATTTTCCATTTTGAGTAGAATAATTTTCTTCTCCTAGTAAGCAAAGACATGTTTGATCTCCAATTGTATGCAAAAGTTTGTTAACATCACCCATCTTTAACAAAATATTGTAAACAATTCACATACCATTTATCATCCATAAAAAAATATAACAAACCTCCAATTGTAGAACAATTTAAATGTCTGGTTTTAGTGGACCATTCTACTGTATTCAGAAAATAGGGGTTAAAGTTTAAGGCCACCCACTCCTTTAAATGGATGCAGTTCCATGTAGACACATACTAATTTGCATATGGGGGAGTGAATATAGTGATTTGAAAATTGTTTAGAACATTAATTTGTTTCTGTCAATAANATAGATAAAAAGATTTTATTTGTTTGTTCTTTACTAAATATTAAAAATATATTTGAATATGTCTGTAATGTTAAATTAAAAATGTATAATAATGATAATACAGTATTAATCAGATAATAACAAAACTGCATCTTTCTGTTAGTACTCTCTTCCTAATTATATTTTATTGAAATTAAGCATGAAACTGAACCTAGTAATTTTTTAAAGTAGATAAGTACAGTAGACTCCCCCTATAACATGGGTTCATATAACACGGATTTGTATAACATGGGAAAAAAATTGCGATCATGTTCATATAACACGCTAAAAGAGACTCGTATAACATGGTAAAACATCATCGCCGACTTGTGTTGTGACAGGATTGGTCGAATCTGGACCAATAGCAGATATTGCACAAACCGTTGAGTTTAAACAAGCACTGAACCTACTGAAAAACATTTATTATTCAACGGCCATAAAAACTATATTTTTATTAATGATGTCTCCAAAGTTTAGCGAATTTTTCTCAGAAAAATAACTTATCAGAAAACACGCGCCCACTGTTCGATCAGCCGCTCTGCGATGAAAATGAGCTTAAGCAATTGCTTTGTCGAACGGTGCACACTCGGTAAGTAATCCTACAATTTTTTGTTTATAGCATAGTTTATATAAATTATTCCCAAAAAATTATGTGTTTTGGAAATGTTGAGTCAAATTAGTGTAGAATCGATTAATTTTATGGAAGAAAACCTTTCAAACAGCCATAGTCCCTAAACTGCACCTGTGCCGGGCTGTGATTGGCTCATGTATTTAAGTGACTCATACAACACGGAATTCATTTAACACGGAACGTATCTACCATGTTACAGGGGGGATCTACTGTAGAATGATTATCTAGTCAGATTTTATTGTACTGTTTAATGTACTATTTCATTTTAGTACATTAAACAGTACATTTACATTTGTACATTTTTATATTCTCTGTGCAGAAAACAATATTTAATATGTCTACTTGAACCAGAAAAAGAAAAGAAATGATACTATGTACTGAGCAATTATTTATTAAAATATGGTAACCATTCAAGGTGAAATAAACAATTAGCATTTATTATGTGTTTATATATTACATGTATGGAGCACAATGTAATTATATACAGTAATACCTTGAACTTATGTGATAGGTGGGAGCAAGCGATAACTCAGTAAGTCAGGATATAATTTCACGTATAAATACATACAAATTATTTTTAATTAGGGCCAGAGACTAAAGAAAACAATAATTTAGAAAAAAATGTTTAATAAAATCTTAGATAATACATATATAACAAATTATGTTATTAAAATTGTAAACTAAAATTATTTTGATGTAGAAGGCTTCAAAAAATGTAATAAATTTGTCTGATGGCTCAAAGTTTTGTTTTCTCCTGCAAAATTTCCTCATAGTGTGCTAATAATTTTTTTTATTTCTCATTTTGTAGAAGAAATACACTCTTCATTGGCGTCTATATTTTCTAAAATTTGTAACCCCTTTTCAATTGAACTGAGGCCATCTGTCAAGTTACCAACCATCATTCTATCTTCTGATTGAACTGGGTCTAAAGAATCAGGTTCTTCAATGTCTTGCTCTTGCTCACGCATTTCTATGAGCTCATCAATTGTCAGCTCCTGATTGTGGGAATCCAGCAGTTCTTGAAGGTCATCACTATCCACTTCTAAATTTATTTGCCTGGCAAGATCTACAACTTCTTCAATCACATTACCAATTTCATCAGGCTCTGGCACTGATTCTGCCTGAGTTTCAGTGGTGAAAAAAAAGAACACAGTTTTTTCCAGACTTCATTTAAAGTTTTTTGTGAAACTTCATTCCAAGATTGTCCAATGATTCTCTCTGCATCTAAAACATTGAATTGTTTCCAAAAGTCTTTAACAAAGAGCTCATTGTTTTGTCTCATAGCTTCATGCAAATGTGCAAACGATCGTCTTGTGTAATAAGCTTTGAATGTTTTGGTGACTCCCTGATCCATCGGTTGAAGCAAACTGGTTGTATTTGGTGGCAAAAATACAACTTTCACACGTGGGTCAAAATTAGTTAAAGTTGCAGGGGGATGGCCTGGTGCGTTGTCAATTATTAGCATCACTTTAAATGGAATTTGTTTAGATTGGCAATAACATTTGCCTTCAGGTATGAAGTGATGACCAAACCAGTCCTCAAAAAGGGAAGCTGTCACCCAAGCTTTACGATTCAACTTCCAAATCACAGGCAAGCCAGCTTTAGATTTATTTTTCAATGCTCTTGGATTTTCCGAGCAATAAACTAAGAGTGGTATAACTTATAATACAACTCACTTATTTAAGCCTGTAACCGATGTGAAACGGTAACTCTAAAGCACAAACGTTTTCTGAACACCTTCCGTGTTCTTCTTCAGGTATTCTAGCTGGATTCTTTTTATTCTGGAACACTGTTATGAAATTTTAAAATAAAATAAAAATAAAACGAACGATGACAGTTTGATTGCCCAGTGTCCATCGCGTATGCATTGTACACGTCGTGTTCTCTGCTGTTCATATTCGTATTAAATCTTCTAATCCGCATGTATTTTCTTTTTTCATACGATAAAATATTCTTACATTTGACGTTATGTGTCCCCACGCAACATCAGATATTAAATCAATCCTTAAGAATCACTATGCAATACGGCCTGCCACGCCAAAGAAAGAGCCATTTCCTCCCGGGAATTAATGCATTCAGATGATGTGTGCGCCTTATATATCTCTATAGCCTCCTGCCATTTGAGGTGGTCCATCTGTGTCGTTTTGACTATTAACGCTGCCCCTGCGAAGTCAACAGTAATATCCGGGTCAGAAGCATATACTGAGAGTGACGTGGTGGCTCTGTTGTATCATATGTCAGATTCGTGTTCTCTTATTCTTACTCCCATCGGGCGTTTCGTAGACACTGTATAGATCAAATTCCTATTGAATCTTTCATCTCTAACAGGGATCCGATAGATGCCCGGCAATTTAATCGGGTTAGATGGGTCCTTTTCATTACGCAACATGTCAAACATAGTTGGACCTCTCTTGTAAGCCAAGCTGACATTACGTCTTTTGGCTATAGCTGTATATACAGATCTCAAGATAGGGTTGAATGTAATCAAAATCCTTTCAACATCAATACCGTGGTTGTCCCTCAGTGTCGTCATAGAGATGTTGTGAGACATTGCTGCTATTTTGTGGCATTCTGAGATTCTTGGAATAAGATTATGGTAGCCATGCATATCGGCAATCTTTTCAATGCGTGTTAACTCTTCCCTAAGTGCCTCTTGTGTAGATGAATAAGAATATGCTCTTAACACGCATTGAGAAGATTGCCAATATGCATGGCTACCACAATCTTATTCCGAGAATCTCAGAATGCCACAAACATCTCACAACATCTCTATGCAACAATGTCTCACAACATCTCTATGACGACACTGAGGGACAACCACGGTATTGATGTTGAAAGGATTTTGATTACATTCAACCCTATCTTGAGATCTGTATATACAGCTATAGCCAAAAGACGTAATGTCAGCTTGGCTTACAAGAGAGGTCCAACTATGTTTGACATGTTGCGTAATGAAAAGGACCCATCTAACCCGATTAAATTGCCGGGCATCTATCGGATCCCTGTTAGAGATGAAAGATTCAATAGGAATTTGATCTATACAGTGTCTACGAAACGCCCGATGGGAGTAAGAATAAGAGAACACGAATCTGACATATGATACAACAGAGCCACCACGTCACTCTCAGTATATGCTTCTGACCCGGATATTACTGTTGACTTCGCAGGGGCAGCGTTAATAGTCAAAACGACACAGATGGACCACCTCAAATGGCAGGAGGCTATAGAGATATATAAGGCGCACACATCATCTGAATGCATTAATTCCCGGGAGGAAATGGCTCTTTCTTTGGCGTGGCAGGCCGTATTGCATAGTGATTCTTAAGGATTGATTTAATATCTGATGTTGCGTGGGGACACATAACGTCAAATGTAAGAATATTTTATCGTATGAAAAAAGAAAATACATGCGGATTAGAAGATTTAATACGAATATGAACAGCAGAGAACACGACGTGTACAATGCATACGCGATGGACACTGGGCAATCAAACTGTCATCGTTCGTTTTATTTTTATTTTATTTTAAAATTTCATAACAGTGTTCCAGAATAAAAAGAATCCAGCTAGAATACCTGAAGAAGAACACGGAAGGTGTTCAGAAAACATTTGTGCTTTAGAGTTACCGTTTCACATCGGTTACAGGCTTAAGTAAGTGGAGTTTTATTATACAACCCAGTGTGCATGTAGGAGTTATATAACTTATAATACAATCACCAGCAGCATTCGCACCAACCATCACTGTCAATTGATCTTTGGCAGCCTTAAAACCTGAAAAGGTTTTCTCTTTACCCACGATAAAAGTTCTTTTAGGCATCTTCTTCCAGAACAGATCAGTCTCATCTACATTGAATATGGTTTGGCTGGTAAAGCCACCTTCATCTATAATAGCTTTAAATTTCTCTGGATAGTAAGACACAACTTCTTTATCAGCACTTGCTGTCTCTCCACTTTCTGCAATGCTATGCCAATTACAGTGACTTTTGAATTGGCTGAACCAACCATCACTAGCTTTAAACTCTTCATCTTTAGCCACCTCTCCAGCATCCTCTTTCAATCTCTCAAAAATCAGCTTAGCTTGAGAGCACACCGTGTTTTGATCAACAGGACAATTTTTCACATTTACTTGATTATCACACCATAATTTTGTTTCCATCTCAGTGATAATACTGTGACGTTTACGAATGATGCTTGAATTTAAAGATTGAGCATTTTTCACAGCTTCAAGAATTTTTTCTTTACCTTTTGTAATTGTTCTGACCATCGATTCCGGTAGATCAAACTTCTTTGTCAATTCACAAATTTTCATTTTTCTATTGAAGTCTTTAATAATGCTAACTTTACATTCGAAAGATAAAGTTTTTCTTTTCTTGTTTGATGCAGAAGAATCAGTTCTACTTTGTTTAGATGACATAGTAGTCTCTCAAGTCTCTGTAGATATAATAGACACGGAAATAAATAACACAAAATAAATTGTAGCTATGCATTGATTCCACACGACACATCCGAACATGTAAGCTGAACAATAGTGTGGAGGGAGTGAGTAATCAAGAGTTGCGTGGTGCTCAAACAAAAGACAAAGCGACAAGATTTGAAAATCGCACAAGTCGAGGTATTACTGTATATTTCTATTATAAAAAACTATTTAAAATGCATAAAGTATTCATTTTAAAATACTATAAATGGAAAAAAAATTTATATTATGCTGATTATGAAATATTATTTATTAATTTTTGTTTTGTTTTTACTTTTTAATAAAATTAACCACTGTTATACAATTAATTTGTTTTCTGTACAGCAGTTCTAATAATGTATATTTAGGTTGCAATAATATTGATAAATTTAAAATATCCAGTTAACTCCAAAATGAGAAAAATAAGTTGAGAAAAATTTGCAATTTAAAATTATCATTCTTTATTGCATATAGATGAAGATAGCTTAATCAATTTGCTTTTTTATATATTTTTATTTAGTACAGTTATCTCATTATTCATTTATTTCATTTTATTTACTTACTCTTCTTATCCTCTGGGGACTTAGAAGGCTTAATTATTTAATTAATTGTGGAAATTCATAGACATTTTGAAATGGGTATAATTAGAATGAAAGCATAATATATTGCAAAAATATTTATTTATGTGATTAAAAATTGTCATTAATATAAACATCTTTTGTTATATGATACTATTAATATGAAGTTAGAAGTGTATTCAGAAAGTACTGTTTAGCTTTAAAAACATGAGAAAGTTTTTACAAGGAATTTTATTTTATCACTTTCTGTTTATTAATTGATTTAGATTAGCAGAATTCTTACACATTAAAATGTTAATAAAGGAAACTAGACTTTAGGATGAGTGTGTTGTGTCCACACTTAAGTTTCTGCACTAAAGCATAAAACAGCTAGAAGACAACAAGCTTCCTTCTGAACAACAATGGAAAACATACAGGAAGCAAGGAGCAAATTGTATGGTTTCACATTAGACAAATTGCAACAAAGTTTGGCAAAAACTCCAGATATTGAGAAATTAGTTGAAGGAAGACAGTGTAGAATTTAGGATTAAAATGAAGTATATATCACTTGTTTCAGTGAGTATTGAAAGAAGGTGCAACTTTGTATTTAAAAATTTAGAAATGCACAACATTGTTAGTTATAATTTATTTTTATTTTACGATAGCAATGAGTAACATTTTAATTATGTTTGTTAGTTTTGCTAGTTATGTACATACCTATCATATTTTTAAAAAATGTGGAATTTTTGTATCTTTGAAAGTTAAGAAATACAAATTTGAATGTGTAAAAATACAATCCATTTTAGTTCTCTTAAAATATTTTATTATTTGCACAAAAAGTCATTAATTCAATTATTGTTATATGTAACATAAATCCTGCCTAAAGTTGCACCTAAATTTAGGAAAAAACTGCATCTTTTCTTTGCATCTAATTTTTATATTATTTTATTAATATAAAAATTGCTCCTTTGCAGTCTTTATTTTAGTACAGTATATTATTGGCTTAAAAAACTTTAAATTTAATTTAATGAATGTTAGATTAGAAATATTATTTAAGTTTTTTATTTATGATTTAGAATAGATTCATATTATAATTAAAAAGAAAGTTATATTAAAAATAATCTTAAAATTTACATTTTAAATTTTAACTTTCAGATGCTTCTTAAGCCAAATATTAGATACAATTTAGAAAATAAAGAAAGCATTAGATTGGCAAATTTAAAAGCTTTTATTGCTATAGAGGATGCAAATGTAAGAATTTTACTTCAAATTTTTATATAAGAATTTATCTTACAACTTATTTTAAATAGAAAAGTATTATAATATTTTATGATATTTTAATATACTGTGTAATAATAGTTTTTTTTTTGCAATAAAAATGATCTCAAATAAAGTAATTATACAAAAAGTAATTTATATTATTAGTTTTAAAAAATTTTATATTATTAATTTGACAATTGAAAATCTGAATAATAATACTAATAAATATTTGTCATCACATTTGGAGATCTTGTATAAAACTATCAAAATTTCAAGTCTACTCACCTTAAAGCAAACACTGATAAAGTGAATTCTTGCATTAAAGTAAATATTATCATTGTCCATTGTCACAATGCTAATTTTTAAGTGATAAAGCAAACAAGAATTTTACCAGAATTCATTACCAAACTGTAAATTACCTTCAAAACCCCAAGAAATAATCCCACTTCCAATAATGGTTGCTTTTTATACTTTTCAATGTGAACAATAAAAAGTTATATTGTAATAAATTTTCCATTTTGAGTAGAATAATTTTCTTCTCCTAGTAAGCAAAGACATGTTTGATCTCCAATTGTATGCAAAAGTTTGTTAACATCACCCATCTTTAACAAAATATTGTAAACAATTCACATACCATTTATCATCCATAAAAAAATATAACAAACCTCCAATTGTAGAACAATTTAAATGTCTGGTTTTAGTGGACCATTCTACTGTATTCAGAAAATAGGGGTTAAAGTTTAAGGCCACCCACTCCTTTAAATGGATGCAGTTCCATGTAGACACATACTAATTTGCATATGGGGGAGTGAATATAGTGATTTGAAAATTGTTTAGAACATTAATTTGTTTCTGTCAATAAATTTTATTTTATTTAACTTTATATAGTAAATTATTTCAAAATATTATAATTTTGATATTTCAATTACCCATTAGGTCATAACTCCCTAAATTAAACAACCGTAACCTCGACCCTGAAAATCGTTAATACAAATTTTTGATAAAGTGAACTAATTACTATGGTTCATATTAATGTGAGTTGACTGTAAAAATATTTTTGATATATTTGGTAAATATTTTCATTCAGACATCAAAATTATTTAATCTGAAATTGATGTTTTAATTCAGTTTCTTTCAAAAACAAAACAAATTAGATTTTTTGTGTGTGAAAAAAATTTAGTGTTAATAAATTAACATATAAGTAAATTACAAAAAAGTTTTTATAAATGTATAGTTAATGTGTAATGGATGTCTGATAACACTGGACAACAATGATTTTGTTTCGGGCTCAAAATTAGCATATTCTTATATATTTTCATCTGCTGAATTCAAAAATCACTATAAAAATGACCAATTAGCTCTTGTTTTGGAGCAGCAGTTCCTAACCAGTGTCTAAGAGCTAAAATATGGTCTGCGAAAGATTTAAAACTTTTATTCATTTTGAATTATAATTTAAAATGATTGACATAATCTAAATAATACAAAATACATGAGAAAGCTTTTATAGTAAAATTTGTAAAAAAATGTTTCATTACAAAATAGGCATTTTCAATTATTTCAAATTTTCATTCCTGTTTTTTCTCAGATCAGTACTGTATATAATAAAACTACACTCTATTATAGAATATATATTTATGCAAACATGACAGCCCTCCTTGACTCAATCAACTATGCTGAGCACAAGTGGAAAATATGTGGCGATCTAAAAGTCATCGCTATACTCTTAGGAATGCAACTGTGGTACACTGAATACTGTTGCTTTTTATGTATTTGGGACAGTAGGGATAGGAAATCACATTACATTCAAGCGGACTGGCCTGCAAGAAATCTTGACTTTACCAAGAAAAATATCGTTGCCAAGCCTCTCGTGGATCCAAAAGATGTTCTTCTTCCACCCCTTCATATTAAGCTGGGTTTAATGAAAACTTTTGTCAAAGGTATGAACCAGAAAGGACAGGCATTTAAGTACTTAAGAGACAAATTTCCTAGATTGAGTGATGCAAAGGTTAAGGAAGGTATTTTTGTTTGACCACAAATTCAAAAACTTGTAAAGGATCCCGCGTTTGACCAAGTTTTGGAGGGAAAAGAAAAGGAAACTTGGGAAGCCTTAAAGGGAGTTATTCGTAGATTCTTAGACAACAAAAGAGACGATAACTACACTCAGTTGGCGACAATACTTCTGGAAAAATATCATCAACTCGGATGCAACATGTCTCTCAAAATCCATTTTCTCCATTCCCACCTAGACTTTTTCACTCCTAGTTGTGGAGCTGTCAGTGATGAACATGGGGAAAGATTCCACTAGGATATTTCTGTATTAGAACAAAGATATCAGGGCCATTGGAATGAAGCGATGCTTGCGGATTACTGCTGGTCTGCATGTAGGGATGCACCAGAACTCACTCACAAGAGGCAAGCCAAAAGAAAACAATCTCATGAAGTCACCACATGATTCTATTCACACCGTACCACCTGCCAGGTATTCTTCTATTAATTTAGAACTCTTAGAATGTTACTGTAATTTTAAAAAAATTCAAAAGCACTTTCAATGTTGTTAGCATATGTAATTAAAATGTATCGTTTTCTCTTATGCTGTTAAAATCACCTATTGTATACCAGAGAAACTAGAGCTAATAAAAATTTTTCTGTGTCATATTCAATTTTCTCACCCCAAAATTTGTAAGATTTCACTCATGAAATAAAAGAAACATTCAAAAACATTTTTTTTGTTGTCCAGTGTAATTTGTCTATTTGTTGTATAATTTGCTCTTTTTGCCATATTCTGGTAAGGTTCTCATTGTCCAAGGGCACTCGCTTGGGATTTACAAATACTTATTTATAATTTATATTATCATTTACTTTAAGTATTAATGTCAATAATATTATTTATTTATATTTAATTATATATTAATACTATTATTTTATAATTCAATACATCCATTGTGGGTTGCAACAGATATATTAAATATGACCATCTGGCTGATGATCTTAACTGAGGCTTATTTTAGGGGTAGGGCTTATATTACAAGCATACTGAAAAATCATGCTAGGGCTTATTTTCCAGTTAGGTCTTATTTTTGGGGAAATGCAGTATAACAAATATTCTTATTATTAGTCACCTTTTAAGAGTCCTAAATTAAACAATATCATAATTTAAATTTGTAAAAATTCCCTGTTTATAGTTATGTTTTTTAATACAGTTGAGTCCCGAAAATGCAACTGTAGATAACTTGACATTCCGCAAAACTCGTGTCATTCAGAAAAAATTCACATGATCTAATTTCTGTCTCTATAACTTAACACTAAAATCAAATAAGTTATTGCTATTCACTAATGTCACTTGATAACAGCATCAATTCCACCTGTTAACAAAGAATAAATCCTTTTTCTAAAGTGCCACTGCAAAATGCCAATGCACGAATGTCGCTAATTAAAAATAGCCACCGAATAGCCAGTGTTTTTTTTAAATTAAAATTTAACTACAAGTAGAAATAGTCATGAATTTGTACATATAATATCTTCATGAAAATTTCATTATTTACACTAGCCATAAAACTTGTCATTTTCAGTAACTGGTACCCTCTCAGTCCATGTTAAGTCAAGTTTGTGGGACTCTACTGTAATGTTATTTTGACTGGCTGACAGTTATTTGATCATTTGAGTGGAAAATTCTTGTTTTAAATATAAAAAAAAACTAAGAAATATTTAAGAAATTGCTGCATTGTTTAATTAGTCATAATAGAAAAATAGAGACTTTTCTAAATAATTAAGTGTAGAAGTTTACTGTACTGTATTTTGTTATTCATATGAAAAAATTGCAACAAAACTATTACAGTAGACTTAAATTTTTTGTTTTAATAATAATTTATATTAAATTGTTGATTTCAGTTGTTGTTAACAGTTCAGAAATTGAAAAGAGAGATTTAATAAAATTGTAATTTGTGAGTTTATTTTTATCTTAAGGACATTTAATAAAATCTTATGTAATTCTAAGCTATTAAAAAACCAATATAAACATGATTCTGCTTACACTAAATTGCATTTCCAAGCGAATAGAATACAATTTATATTAGTTCTTCATTTTATAAATTGTTTGACAAAATATTAAATTTAGAAAACTTTTCATTTTTTCAGTAATTAACAGTTGAACAAAGATGTTCTTATGGTAGTATAGATATTCCACATAATTCAAGTAATAAAATTTTAATTATTTTCAGTATCATTATTACAGCAGCCGTATTTTATTCATTCGATTACAGTATTTTACTATTGAATGAATAATTGAAACTGTTTTATTTATTTATTTATCTTCAAAAACAGAAGACAAATGAAGATGAAGACTCGGAAACAGGTTCCGAATCAATGATAAATCAGGTATAGCTCTATACGTGTTGTTAATATAATTATTTTTGATTTATTGTTTGAAAATATCTATATTAACAGTATACTTTTGCTGTAAATGTTTATTTTTAAAAGTAATTATTTTAAAAATAGACAACCACAGTGAAATGATATATGGCATAATAAAGCTACAACCAGCAGTTGCATGACTAAAGGCTTGAGAGAGTTACCACTTACTGCAATAAGAGTATTAGAGAGGATGCTAGACAAAAATTTCACAGAAGAGAATGTCAAAGCAGAAGGATATTGATAAGAATAGACATTTTCATAGTAACAACTTTATTAATGATAGAAGAGTTGTCACAGTAGTAGTTTGTTTTTGATGATAAAGAATATTGCTTTTTACTATATTCAGTTAAATACACATACTAGGCTTCATTTTACAGTACTTTCTTCAAAGTCGTTAGCATATAACACTTCAATGAGAAATTATCAGAATGAATTTATTTTGGTTTATAGATTGATTATATTATTTTTTTAATTACAGTTTCATAATAATATTTTTGAGACTAATTTCGTAATAAATAAATAATTTTCTCATAAAAAATAAATAAATGGAGGCAATTGAAAAAATTATGTGTCCTTATTTTATACTATTTTTGTTATATTATTGTCTACTTAGGACTTAGCAATTATTAGGACTTATTATACTGGTGAAAAACCAGATGAAAAATAAAGATTGTTTCTTCTGAATAAGACTTCCTCTTTTTGCAGAAACGAAAACACCAGTATAATAAAGTCTTAATAAAATGCTAAGTCTTAAGTAGATAATAATATAGCAAAAATATAAACGAAATTTAAAATTCAAATTGTAAAAAAAATTGGTTAGAATATTCTTGCTGTCTTGTTTGGATATTTTATTTCAACTAGAATTAAAAGGTTGTCAAAAAAATTTGAAACTTCATTAGAAAAAGTAGTCTTTAAAATATTTCATAAAATATTACACAAAGATATTGAAAAATTTATTTAAATTTATATAAAATGCAATATTATTATGCATCATTTACATTTAGGTTTAATTATTATAGAAACTTGTTGTGAATTAATTTAATATTTAAATTTGAATTATAGGAAGAATGTTTTTCTGCATTATCAAAAGAAGCAGAAAAAGGAATGGTTGAAAATGAAGAATCTGAAACAGGATCAGAATCAATGATTATGAATGGAAAAAAATGTTATACAGCAGAAGAAGGCATTGATGTTGACATGACATTTGTCAATGAAAAAGGTATTGATAATCAACAGTTAAATACTGTTTTCCATAATGAAAAGGAAAACACTGATGAAAAGACACACACAGATCAATCAGTTTCGCCACACAAAAGAGAAAATCAGTCAGATAATGATATTACAAGAGAAGAAATATTAATAAATGTATCAACAGAGCATTTTGAAAGTCGTGTTAATTCAAATGAAGATACTCTAATGGATGAGAAATTAATGAATGCACCAACACAATGTTACGAGAGTTGTTTAAAACCTAATGACGACGACGAAACAGATGATGAAAGATTAATGAATGCACCAACACAACGCTATGAGAGTTGTTTAAAACCTAATGATGACGACGACGACGACGAAACAGATGACGAAAAGCTAATGAATGCCCCCACCCAGTGTTATAATAATCATCCCGTTTTAGATGATGACATAACAGATGATGAAAAATTAATGAATGCACCAACACAACAGTACAGTAACTGTCCCAATTTTGACGATGATATAAACGATGATAAATTAATAAATGAACCTAAACAAGCATTTAAAAGTTTCGATACTTTAAGTAATTATATGACAGATGATGAGAAATTAATAAATGCACCAACACAGAAACTAGATACAAGTTCAGACGACAGTTCAAACGATGAAAGCTTACTAAAAGTTCCAAATCAAAATATTTTAAATAGAGATGCATCAAATAATTATACAAATTTTACATCTAATGATATTTCATTGAATCCTTTAAATGAAGAAACTGAGAACATTTTTCAAAGTATCAGCACAGATGAAGATTTATTAAATGTCGAAACTCAAGCATATTTAAAAGATTTTATAGATAATGGGGAAGATGATTTAGCAAACACCGAAATATCTAATCGAGAAAATAAAGAACTTTCAGAAGAAAATGGTTCCAATATTGTTGGCAACGAAGCAGATAGTAAAGTTGATCAGGATGGTAAATACGATGAAATAATTGATGCCGAAACTGTAGCGCATTCATCCGATATAGAACCTAATACAGATGATAAATTTTCAATAGATAAAGAAACGTGTGAACTTGCAAATAAAACTGAAGGTATTGAATCTGAAGAAAAACAGTTGGATTCAATATTAAAATCGCGTAAAAATTTGGCAATTATTTCTCAGGATTGCGATACAAAGGAGCAGAATTCTAGTGATCAGAATTTAAAATCTTCTTTAATAAATATTCAGCAATCAAAATTCTTAATGGAAGAAACTCTGGCAGATTTTTCTGTAAATGATATTTTATGCCTGTCTACGCAGCCACAGGAAAATCAGACAGACGATTTAGATTACGAAAGTGATTATTTAGCAGAAACACAAGAAATACAAAGTAGTAAAACTTATTTAGATAATATAGAAAATACCAACATGGACGATAGTGAAATTCCGCCCGTGCCCGACGATTACGTTGCCGAAACACCACCACACTTGCTAGACTTATCTGTAAGCGAAAGCGAAGACGAAATGTTAGAAAAATCCCAATTACTTACCGATTCATCAAATAAATCCAAAGATTTCGATAAAAATGAGAATATAACGGAAAGAACAGAAACTAATAATAGTAATCCGGAAGATAATTTAATAGAAATTTCTAAAATTGAAAAATGTGAAAATTTAGGCCGTAAAGAAGAGGAAAAAGTATCAGTCGAAGAAAATGTCAAGAATAATTCTTCTCTTGTGGAAGAGAGAAATTATTTAAATAAAAATGAAGGGTCAAATCTTAATGACGACAATTTGACTGCGGAGAGAGATTCTTTTCAAAAACTTGAGAAGAACCAAATTGAAGAAACCAATTACTCTTGCCTAGAACAGAGTGACACACCCAGAAATCAAGTAACAAAACCAGAATTAAATAAAAGTGATATATCACAAAACAACAATTTTATAAAAACATTAACAAATGAAAAAGTCAATGCAACTTTAATCGAAAAAAACAGTTCAGATTTGAACAAAGTAGCGGAAAATAATGAAATTGTAACAAGTGACGAAATTCAGAAAAAAATTGGTTTGCAAGAAACTGTAGATATAAATGAAGGAACAGCTCGGTCCTTTACAAAAGAATCGAATAAAAATAAAGTTGAAAAAGAAAGTAGTAATCCTTCAAAAATCAATCAAATAATAATTAAGGAAAATAATAATTCTCAATCAGACGCGAAAAGTAACTCCTCGATGGCGTGGGTGGAAAATAAACAAACAAAATCTGCAGTAACGGAGGAGAACGAGGATTTTTTGAATGAAAAAAAGTATAAGACTGCGAATACCAGACTAAAGAGGAAGAATAATTTGTTAAGGAAAGAAAAGACGCCTGCGGAAAGCGAATCGGCACAAACTAGAAAAGGTGAAAAGAAGTCTTGTCTCACCGAAGAACCTAAATCGAGAGAAATTGAAGAAAATGATGCAGCCGAAGAAACTAAACGGAACGATTCAGTTCAGAAAAGAAAAGAACATTTATCAAAAGATAAGAAGAAAAGTATCGAAGAAATAAATAATGTAAAGAAACCAATGCAAACTAGAAACAGAAGTAAAACTGATCAACTGCAGAAAGAAAAAGATTCGACAATAAAAAGAACTGTAATTGGAAAAGAATGCCAAAGCATTTCGAAAAAGAAAAATATTAAATTGCTGGAAAAAGAAAGTACAATAGAAATGCGGGAAACAATAATTGAAGGAAGTAATTCTACCTTAGATAAGAATAAAAATCTAAGCGAAGCAAAATTTGACGAATTTACAAACGAGAAAGAAGATTTAAATACGAGTAGTTTAAAAACTGTTAAAAACGAAGTCGTTAACGTAGAAATTAACGAAAAAAATATTACTAATAGTAGCGAGAGTAACACTAATACAGAACAAATTGATGACTTACAGCAGAGTCATAAAGCTATTAGCGACTCGCCCGGTCTCAAATTAGAAATTTGTGTAGGAAAATTGAAAGAAATATCTAAAAAACAAACGTCTTTGCCTTTAAAAGAAGAAAATATCGTCGATAAAGAAGCCACTTCTCGCGAAAATAAAAAGCCTTCCAGAAAACAGAAACGTACGTCTAAAATAGCCAAAAAAGTAGAAGAAAGACGGCAGAGCCCGAGGAAAAGAAAATTAATTAAAGGCAATGCAGAAAATACTAACGAAACAGATCTAACAATTGCACATTCGTCCGTAACGGAAAGAGAAAAGAGAAAGTCGCCCAAAATAGCAAAAACTGAAAACAAAATAGGTTCTTTACGCAAAGAGTCTGATAAAACCAAATTGAAAACAGATGACGACCACGACACCAATTGTACCGTAACTTCAAAGAAAACGAGGAAGAAAATATCGGTAAAAAACAATTTAGATTGGAGTAGTTCGGCCAAATCGGAAAGTTCTTCGTTCGAAGATAGTCTTAACCAATGCACTCCACTCAGAAAAAGCGAAAGAGGCCAAAAGAAGAAGGAACATCCCGAATACGAAGTGTATCCAATGAAAAAAGCCACAAGGTCCGGTTCGGCCGATTGTACTCCTCCAGAAAAACTTTTCAGTAAATTACAAAAAGGGAAAGACGAATCTACAAATAACAGAAGGACTAGATGTAGATCATCAATTACAGAAATAAAAAATTTAGAGAAATCTCCAGAAACAGCGTTAGAATTTAGTGATCGGGACGAGTATTTATCGAACGGCGACTCGTCTAAAAATTCGCCACTAAAAACTAAATGCAAACAAACAATTCCAACGTTAGACCAGGATAACGTAATGAGTATTTCAACAAGAAAAAGGAAAGCGAAAAGTGAAAGGGCAGTTTTGGTCGACACATCACCCAAACTTACGAAACGTCGCTCTTTAAGTAATTGCAGCAGTTCCTCGCCTTCTGCAAACAAACAAACGTCTGGAAACACCAGAAAGCAGAATCGAAATAATTCGTCAAAAATAAAATCGAAAAAAAGTAAATTTAAAATTATGTTCACCGGAATGAACGAAAGCGAAATTCAAAAGGTTAATTCTCTAATTTCTTTTTATATAACTTCGCATGGATAACATTACTAAGGATAACATTTTTTTGTTTGTATTGTAGATTGTTACGAAGCTGGGTGGCGAAATAGTCGACGATCCAAAACTATGCACGCATCTAGTGACCGACAAGGTTAGATTTTTGAAATTTCAAATTAAAGTTCGCTCATTTATATTACATAATTTTATTTGTTTGGGCTTAATTTACATAAATTATCAATTGTAAACCATCCAGAATACTACTCCTCTTCTTTCAACTCACTACACAATACGTATTTCGGGTTTATCCTCGATATAAAACTTGCCACTTGGATTTTTCCAGCAACGGAAACCATAGTGGAAGGAGGGAGATGTCTAGGTGATTTATATAAATTAAGCCACAACAATTAACTAACATTCTAAAAAGTTTAGAAATTTGATACTATTTTTATGAATATATTAACCAAACAGATTTTAAAACATTTCAAAACTATGCTTTTTGAACCGAAATTTTCAAAACTTGCAGACCTATAAATTCTCACTGGCATCCGCCCCGTCAGTCCTTCCTTCATCTCGAGAGCGGAGTTAGATGAAAGTTGAGACCGGATATGGAAAGCTTAGGAGTAGGAAGCCCCGATTAACTTTATACGAACTTCCGGTTTGGACCGGAAGTCACGTCATTTCAATTCAGAAATGTTCTCCAGAACACAGATGATCGGTACAACTCGCTTGTTAACGGGAAAAGTACGATGTGCCGGGAGGAAGACTACTAAAATCAATAGCATTGCGCATCTAGATCTAAAAAATGCAGCCCGGCATTGCCACGATGTCAGAATAAATAATTGCTCGTTTAAAAATAATTTTAATTAAAATAGTTATGATGTTGTCCAGAGATAAAGAAATATGTTTGCATTTTAACTTTCTCCTTACTTCTATGATTAAAACTTAACCCGGCGTGAGTGAGGCGGGGGTATGTCATACCCGAGATTTTAAACGCAGATTATTTAATGTTATTTTTGTCATGGAAATCCCGTCGTCACAGTAGCTGGAGATAAGGGAGTAGGAGACGAGGTGCAGTGTTGAGTTTAGTGTTGCGCCTCGCCCCGGAAGATACACATGAGCAAAGGTGACTGGGGTACGTCATACCCGACCTCATAGTCGGTGTTACATTTTTGAGTTGACAGTAAGTTTATGAGTTATAGTTATTTATAGTATTTTTAGATTTATTTCTAGATTTCTCAAATGATAGTCTTCTCATTAGACAAAAAAACACATCTTCCAAGGGAAACTCGAAAAGTGATTACTGATCAACTGGGATAACCTTCATTATCTGTTTCCAAAAAAGTGGCTAATAAATATGTCAGGTGTAGTGAGTGTACTAAAAAACAGATAGGAAAACAAAACATTGCTGTTCGAAGTGTGAGAAGCCAATATGTATGAAGCATGCGATTTTTATGTGTGGAGATTGTGTTGATTTGTAGGTGTAATGTTGGCGCTGTGCAAATTGATCTCATAAGAACTTTTAGTTTTTTTCTATTTTTATAATTGAAAGATACTATAGTTATGTTGATTAACCAAAGAAGTTGTAATTTTGTTAGAATTTTATACGAAAAAAATGTTAAACTACCAAAACTTGTAGTTTTTCAAAGAAAATATAGACACTTTGTTATTTCAATTAAATAAAAATGTTTTTCAATCTTAAACATAATATTTTATTTACTCATCTTGTTGAATAGATACTATTTTTATTATCCCAAGTGAGAAAATACTTTTTACACAATTATAGTATCGAAGTTTCGGGTATCTCCTATCCACCTCATAGCTAGTGTGACAATTTCTCACCTCATTCACGCCGGGTTAATAAAATGAATACGTCTCTTTGTACAAATATTTCGCTACAGAATGAGTTGTGTTTTTCTACAGATTTTAAAACAGAATCTTATTATCTTTACTTTCACCGCCCGAATTTTTCCGGTTCACTTTGTTTCTTCGCAAATATGAAATCGCCTTAGCTAAATAATTGAAAACAGCCAACAGAAAATATCGTCGGTAACTGTCGAATTCCCCGCAAGAAAACTGACTTCCAGTAACTAGTTTATATTTTAAACGAAAAAAACTGTCGAAAGATTTTCCTGGAGCCGGAAACCAACAGTTATTGTGACGTGGTCACAATGCCCAACTGCAATTTTTAATATTTTTAAAATCACTTAACTTTCGGTCCAGACCGGAAGTTTGTACATATTTAATCGAAGCCACCAGTCCCCGGGTTTCCATATCGGGTCTCGATTTACAGCTAACTTCATTCTGTAAAGTAACGAAAGGCAGACAGACTGTCGACGGTGGGAATGAATAGGTTTGCAATTTTAAAATTGCAAACCTATACATGGATTGTCGTCGGCACTGTTATACCGAGTATTTGCACTCCATAGCTTGTATTTTGCGAGAGATCCCGAGACATTCTGCAATATTTTACTTACTTAAATCCGCCGAACAGTTTTCATTCCCACACGAACAAGTTTATCAAACTTATCACGATTTAAAAATCATACTTTGTTTTTCATGGTGTGACTCCATATAAATCCCTAAACTTCTCACGCAGATTGTTTCTTACTCACCTCTAACCTCGCCAAAAATGCCGTAAGTAAACTTAACTCGTCCGACATCCTCGGACAATATTCCCAATGTTACGATAAATAATTGCTTCTGTATTTACCTCTCCGTTTAATGAAATGGTACTACGCTTCCTTACTCCGACAATAGTAAAATCCGCAAGTAGCCTAAAAGTCTTCGATCGACCATACCTACGGGAAATGGAGTTGCCGATTTTCGAGGGTCGATTTCTCCGCCCCCAACGCCTGGAGTAGTTCCGAATATTTCGTCGGAAAGATAATTGTTTTCTTAAGAGGTGTGCAAAATTTCATCTTTTTCAATAAACTGCTTGCCGAAAAAGTGCAAAAATCGCCAAAAAAGTCGTATTTATTTTTCATCCGGCATTGCAGGCGTTCGTAGAGACCTGCCGGGTGTAGAAAGATTTAAACTTAAGCCTCTGGGGTTGCCGGCCAAACTTCCGGGCAGATAGGTCAAAGTTCACGGGGTTGCCCATACAGCCATTTTACTTTTCTCGCTTAATTTTATACTTAAGGATAAAATTTCATGGGAACAAACGATTTTTATTCAAAATATTATCCAGATTAACAAAAGCTTAGGTACTGTACATGCCAATTAAAAGTTTTTACGACGATGGGAAAACGTCGGGTGGACGACCACGGTGGAGTACGTCATCGTCTTCGGTCTCGACGTAATAACACAAACATTAACCAAAAACATCCGAGATGTAAAAAATTGTGACAATTTGAACAAATTGTTTTCTTAGTTGTTAATAAGCATGGCGCTGGGAAGCCAAGCATAGAAAAGAATAATACGGGTATAAGTCTCGCGAGAACCGCTTCCGAGAGCCAAACTTATCTTTACCAAGAATAAACTCTTAAGAAAAGAAAATTTGACCGTGGTCGGAATTGTCATCATTTTTTACGTTTTTGTTTGAATGTGATAATTATCCCAGACACGGCCCGATTATTAAAACTTTTTGAATTACGCATCTGCCAATATTTATATTTTCGTATTATTTCCGACGCTGCCACATTAAACATAAATCTACTCTACCCCATCCCCGGTGGCTCCTAATCTAAAAGCCCGTTACGTTACCCTCCCGGATATTTCTCGGCTTTAGATTCCGTAATTATTCGGCATCTACCCCTCCGATACGCCGACGACGTCTTTTTAATCGGCACGCGTACTCACCGCTGGGAGATTTCTCTCTCGCTCCGTTTTCTTCCTTAATTGGCATTCTCTGGGCTCTTCCGTTTACTGCCATTTGTGCCCGCGACCTAGAAGTTACAAATTCTAACTTTATTGCTTCACCACGCCACGTTTCCCGGCTTTCTCGACCAATCGAAATCCATCGCTACGCTTCTTCGTCCTTCTTTACCTGTCTCGGGCCATCAGATCTTATCCGGATTCTTTCGACGATTTAGACACGGCTTTCGGCCCCAGCGCAAATCTTTCTTATTTTTGGCGAACATTCGAACCGTAGTCTGGCACTCCCCGTACCGAAAATAGCAAGATCGACGGCCCGCCCCGGGTTTTCCCCCTCGACCGTCTATTTTATAGATTTTTGAACGGTGTGTTTATTCGAATGTCGAAATGGCAGCGAGGCCAGAGGTGTCGAGACCGTTATTTATTCCGAGATAGAAATATAGTTTTAACGGATAGCGTAAAAGAAGAATTTTTTTCTTGGCGAAACTACCAAACCAGCATTCTCCCGTCTTTAACGTCTATTTTTGTGTTACTTGTTTTAATTTTTGTATTATTATCGTTTTTACGGAAATTTTGCTGGGTTAAGAGGGCCGTTTTATCGAAAGTTGCTACTTATTCTTCATAATTTTATTTAGATTTTACCAACTGTTCTTTATTAATTTGTTTTAAACTTAAAGCCGTCTTCTACTGCAGAAAATACGGTTATATAATTAGTACGTACAGTACGTAAATATATATGTATAAAGTATTATACGTTTTAATACAGTTTCACAGAACCGTGAAGATGATGTGTTGCGTAGCGAAAGGTATACCGGTGGTGGTAAGCGAATGGCTTCACCGGTGCGAGAGTAACGATACGTTCGTGGGTGAGTAAAGACGGACCGACGGTCCTGTAACCATACGTTAACTGGTTCAATTATAGAAAATAATTTCTTTTTTCTCGCCTAAAACGACGGCAGATCACGCCGAGTACTTGCTGAAAGACTCCGCGGCGGAGAAACAATATAAATTTAATTTGAAGGAAACCTTAGATAATGCCCAACGAATGCCCCTGTTAAAAGGTTGGAGCATTCACGTTACAAATAAAGTAAAACCCGTACCGGAGCAAATGAAAGGTAAAATCTTTCTTTTCCGTATTATAACTTTACACGTATATTTAGTTAACACGATATTTACAAGGGGGAAAACTAAATGTTAATACTTTTAATACGCTTTGTTTTCCAGATATAATAGAATTTGCGGGAGGAAAGGTACGTTTTATTCGTTTATATCACATTGTAATTAATTAGTGTTATAATAGCTTTAAAAAAACAAGTAAGTTATATATATATATATATTTATTTATTTACACTAAGAACTAAAATACAGGAATAAATACGAAACAAATGGTGGTATTTGGAATAATTACCGAGGGTAGAGAAAGAAGAGAACGAAATTTTGACGATCCACTAAATTAATGGAGGTCGATGGACAAAGACTTAAGACGAGATTTTTTCTACCGCGCGGGAATTAGGCTTTTGGAATTTTACAAAATAACACGGACTTAATTGCCCAGGCGCGGGTAAAACTGCGGAAGATACTCCGCACTCGGACATCCGGCATTTGTTTATTTCGAACCACGCGGTGGAATCTAACCGCAGCCGTCAAAGTCGCGCCCGAAACGATTTTGCGGAATACCCGGCGGGCTGGGTTTCCTCCGTCCGTCAAAGTCCAGATTTATATTTTCCTCGAATGGACCAGACGAGGCCACGTGGCGCGGGAGATGCCTGTTTGGGAAGGGGCGCTTTATTCGGCAGTCGACCCGCAGTGTGGCATTTTGGCCCTGTTTCCGGCCGGGTTACCGACTTCTCGGTTCGATTCCGTAGAAAATCGTTAAAATAAATGGACGGAAGCCCGAGTCGTTTCCTCCCCTTCCCCTATTTTCTTGCCGCCAAACGGTGGTAAAAAATTGATTACGTCGGTCGACGGGAAAGAAAGTAGAACGGTAAATGTTTATCGTTCGGAAAATATTAAGAAGTCGCAAACACGGTTGTACAAAGTGCCTTTACGGTTCTCTGCCGACGTCGATTTGCTAAAATTCTTATTGGCACTTTTCGGAAAGTCGTAAGTAAACGTTGCCGTTCGGACTCGGGCAAGAAATTCTTCCGTCCGAATATCCCGAGTCAGTCTTTATTTAAGCCAAATTTCTCCCGGTCTTCGTCGACGGGATTCCGTTTGGCCTAACCCGAGATTAACGTCGGGGTCCGGACTATATTCCGGGGGTTAAAGGTCGAGAGGGACTGGTGGGACTTAACCAAGATTTTACCGGTTGTCGTTTAGAGTTTTATAAAACTCATCCGTACCATTAAAATTAAGTCTCTTTCCGTTTTATAATAATTAAAAATACGGAAAGTTTTATAACAAAATGTGGTAACGGATGGCGCCGGGCAATTTTATTTACTACTAACCATTAATAATATAAAAGTTATTTTTAAAACGAAACGTGGGAACGGGCCGGAAAGTTAAACAACTCGTTGCCGGATTTATTTCCAGTTCGGACAGGAGTTTTTCGATAGATGCGTACAGTACAGTACATACCGGTACACGCGTGGAAGTTAGATCGAGAACGGAAGCGGAAGGACCTTTATTTTGGTCGGTCCGCGGGGTCTGGAAGTGGGAGAGACTTACGTCGGGGGAAAGTCCGAAGGCGAAGAGAGAAAGTCGGTCGAGTCCGGCGGCAAGCCGAAAATGAAACAACGGGACTTTCTTATTAAAATTATCTTTAATAAATTAGATTATTTACGATATAATTATCGGGAGTGGAATTTCCTACGGCCGAACTCGTTAACTACTTTCTGCCCGTCCCGATTTTCCCCAAACGGGAATTTTCTTTCGCGCTTTTATTTATTCAGAATTTTTTCGCGAGACGGAGGATTGGCCGGATAAATAACCCGGTGGACGGCCCGGTCCCTTTCGGAACCGTTTCCTCGGTCCTCTCTCGGAAGGTGGCGGCGGTTAACCTTTACTTTTTTCTTTCTTTTGTGTCCAGTACCTGTCTCGAATGCCGACCAGATTCTCGGACCGCCTGCTGATCGTCTCCTGTCCGGAAGACCTGAAGACCTGCGCACACGCGGCCAAGTGCGGCATTCCGGTGGTGGGCACCGAATACCTGTTGACCGGATTACTCAGACACCGGAACGAGGTGGAAGCATATCCTTTTTAGCGCGCTTCGGTCTTAGTTTATAATTTTCCTTTCCTCTTAATTTCCTTAACTCGGAACAATTATCGCCTGCCGGCCTGACCTCTCGGATCCGACTTCGTTTTCTACGTCCTTCGTGGGTCCGGAACAATTTGTAAAAAGTGTCGCCGTTTATTTTTTTAATAAAACGTTCGTTTTGTCCCGACGTTCTTTATTTTTGCCACGCGCCGAAAAGCGGGAGAAACGCTCCCTGGAGGCGGCGCGTCTCCGTTTCCGGGAAAGGCGGCTCTTTACCGGATGACCGGACGGACGGAAGTTCGACCCCTTTCCCGATAAACGAGCGGGAGGAGGAAAGAGAAGGCGGAGACGGTCAGAAGGTATTTTAATGTGCCAGCTTCCGGAACCGTTACACCAACGTCCACTACACCGAACACTTAAAATTCCCACACGGTTAATCTATTACAAAAGAAAACACGTGGCTACGGCTACGGCGGGTCCTAAGGGGTGGAGACGGTCCCCGCCCGTTCTAACCAACTAACGGAAGAGAGGGGCGGACGGGAACGGCGGGCGGGTGTTAAAACGGCGTCTACCGGCGGACGACGCTAAGATACAAAAGGTGCGCGACGGGGGAGGACCGCCCGGGCGCTAGACGCCCGCGGCCACCGGGATTACGTATTACGGAACGGGTCGGATCGCCGTTCTATTCCCGGGGTAAAAGTCGACCGGATCCGCCGTCCTATTGCATAGATGAGTCTCTACATCGGGCGGCCCGGCGCCGGCTAGGACGTCCCGTCTCCCAAACTGCCGTACGCACCTGAAACGAAAGAAAACACCGGCATTAGTCTACCTGGCAACGCTTCCTTTCTTTCTATCGCGCCGATCGCGAATTTCCGCTTCCCCCCCCCCGGCGGTTAGGTACGGCCTCCGGGGACCGGGCCCGACTTAGAGAGAACGCGTCGTCCTCCAAAATTCCCGGGGTTTTTCCTCCCTTACGAATATCGTCTCGGGTCCGCTGGGCTGGGAAATTCGGGAAGTATCCTTTCTGGCACGACGGAATTTAAAGACGTGGTTCCTAAAGCCTGGTACCACATGCGGCAACGGACGACGGAACGGCAAAATGACGTCACTTTTGCCGTCGACGTGGACGGAATACGAAGTTCAAAAGCCGGATGCACACATGCGGCGCGGCAAGGAAAAGCGGCAGAATGACGTCACTTTTTCTCGCCGCAGAAGTCGATTTTGTGCCGCTTTTCTCGTGCCGCAAAAGTTGGTTGAATTCTATCTTTTGCGGCAACGCCGCCAAGACGCGTTTCTATCAGCCAATAACAGTTTGTCTCGTAGTCACGTGAGAAAATACAATCACGTGGTGTTTTAATGGCGGAAAGTTCGAGGCGGTTAACCGAGATAATTAAAATCAGAATAAAGAGGAAAGGATAACAAATTTAAAACAAATTCTACACAAAAATAATCATATATAATTTAATTCAAAGAAAAAAACAACCGAATCTTACTCGAAATAGTATTCTTTATCGAGAGATCTTGATCCACGAATAAGTCTATTTTGTACACCAGTTCTTTCTCGATCCAAAGAAGTATCTCTAATTCAAATCTTCGACAAAATCTTTTAGCTAAATAAAGCGAGCCGTACAAAACAAAATTTGTAAACACGTAGATAGGGACAGTGTATAAACTAAGGCGCTAGATTACCCAGGTATGCTCATACGCTTCCGTCACGTGTGCAGCCATATTGGTCCTTTTGACGTCATATTCCAAGATTTTTAAATTTAGCTGTATTTTATAACTAGTTGAACTAAATTTTGGCAAAGTTTATCATTTCGACCTTGCAAAATCTTAAGATACAGTTGAATTTATGATTATTTTCGTGTCTCTTCTATTGAACTTCTACGAGAGTCGTAAGCTTTCTAAGGACCAACATGGCGGATGAGCATACCTGGGTTATCTAGCGCCTTAGTATAAACACGTGGATATCGTTCGCCATCTTGAATACTGAACGCATGCGCCGAAATGTAAGCGGATTGCCGCTTGTGTGGTTGCGCTGCCGCGCGGCGAAGATGCGTTTGCGTCACCGCTTTTCCTTGCCGCGCCGCACTTTTCAACTTTTGCCGCGACAAAAAGCGGCACGGTAAAAATTAGACCAATAGGAAGGCCGTTTAGCAATGTCGTCATAAAGATCACGTGGGACGATAGCATTCGAACTATGGCGGTCGGCAAGCTAAAAAGCTTTATTTCTACACTAATACGCTAATATATTTCATTTATACGCTATTTTACTCTTGGATTTAAATATTAATGTCAAATTTACTTACTGCGTAAAGTATTGGAAATGGAGTGAGCATAATTCGGTGACGAAAGTATTCGATATTCCTAACTTTCGACGATTTAGAAAATTTTTCCTATCCAAATTATTCGTTTTTCAGGTTTTTTATTTGCAATAAGATCGAAGGCAAACTTAAAAAGTTTAATTGATATAACAAAGCAATCCCGGTAGACACGTGGCCTACCTACTGTACTGGCTTGTTTATATTTACCACTGGCAGATGGCGCGTTTCAATTGTAGGGTAATTTCCGCATGTGAGTACACGCGACACGGAAAGAAGACGGAACGGCAACCGTTTCCGTCGACGATTTCCGTCGTCCGTTGCCGCATGTGGGTACCAGGCTTAAGAAGGCGGAAATAATAATACCGGCGACGGTGGGTGGGAAAGAGGCGCTTTTGGTCCGTGTCGTTGAGTCGCCCGTCAAAAGTGGGTTGGTTCGATTTTCGACGGAGGAAGGCCGTGGGCCCGGCCCGTCCCGCCTAGGGTAGGAAGTACGTATGGAAGACGACGACCGGGTCGAGCGGGAGGACGGGCGGAAAAGCTTGCCGCGGAGTTCGGTGCTTGGGTTGGTCGGGTTCGCAATATTATCGAGAGAAAATTGTACGCGAGAGTCTGTTCCGACTGCCCTAAGGCAACGGCGGAACTCAATTCGTGGTTAAATTTTTAGATTACAGTAGAGCCTCGATTATCCGACCCCCGATTAACCGACCGTCCTAGTCGGCAAATTTCAAATGTCCAGTAGTGATGTGGCGTTACAATATTTGACTATGTCTTGGCTACTTTAATATTAATTTTTACGTGTTTTAGCTGGCAACACTGGATCGACCACGAAAGGGAGCCAGTATTTAAACGAGGCTTAATTTTCTAATTTTTAACGATACAATAGCGACGATTATTATTTTAAAAAATTTTTTAGGCTTAACATCGATGAAAATTCAACGCGAAGTAGGTTAATAGCGATATACTAATTACATGGGATATAATAATATACTACACTAATAATGGATTTTTTTCGTACTTTTCAATTATCCGACCAACCCCAGTCCCCAATTGAGTCGGATAATCGAGACTCTACTGTACTTCTAAACGAATGATTTTTTCATACGCGACGTCAGCCTTTTCGCCCCATCCGAAGAGTAAAACGGCTAAAGCGATCGGTCGCTTTAGAATTTGTCTTCTGATTTTAAAGATTAAGAAAAAAAATTCCGAGTAGTTTCCCCTACCGAACGTTACGTCCCCTCCACCTATAATTGGCTGCGAGTGGAGGTTTTAGACTCGAACTTTGTCTTTTATCCGTATCCTTTCCAAAATACGGGCTAACGGTCGCGTATGTCACGTGGGCATAAATATATATAGTCTAAAATGATTTTTAGACTATATATTTATGCATATTACAGGAAGTTTAATTACTAATAATACCCGTTCTGTCGGTGGGAGAATATCAAATTTTAAGTCCCTGTATGTTTGTACTTTGTCTACGACCGCACCGACTACATTCCATTTAAACCTATAAGGAGTTGGACGACGTAAACGCGCTATTTTACTCTCGGGCCGACGTTGCGTACGAAAAATAATCATTCTTTTATAAGTAACTCAAAGTTTTAACTCGTTTTCGTTTTCAACTAATACAAATAACGAATAAGGCATTCGAAATCGAGTCCCCCATTGGCACCGTTGCCGTAGCGGCATAATCGAGAACCGACGCTCGCTAGGGGCTAGACCGGGGTCCCCGCCGCGCTACGCCACGTACGAGTTCAAATATAATATACGGAAACGTCGTAAACTCGCTAGGTAGAAAAATGCCGAAATCGGTTCAATCTGGTTTTTACATTTGACGGCGACATAATTTTTAGGAAAATCTGCGAAATGAAAAATTCGGAGCGTTTTTTGTGTAAGTACCCGACATGAAGTTTCTAAGAAAAGCCATTACCGGTTGGCTGTATTGGTTAATAAATACGGAGTTCTACTTTTTGTGTATTCGGTATACTGTATCCGACAAAATGGTTACGCCACCCGCGCTCGACATTTTCTCGGTTATCCGTCGATCCGTTGCCAGAAAAGTTTGGCCACCCCCGGACTAGACGTTCGTTTCGGTGACGATAGGCGGAGCCATCGTTTTCCACCGGCGGCCTTCCCACGCCATTTTTCGGTCAGAAAGAATTCTGTTTAAAGAGCCCGACCATACGCTTCGCGCTCCGGCGTCCGGCATTTTGTCCTCTAGCGTTCTTATTCTTGGCGAGAATGCGCGTCTTCCCGTTGCCCGGACGGTGCGGGAAGCGTTAGCCAAAAACGGTGGGAGGTTCTCGACCACCCACCCCGCGCGAGTTGCCAACCTCGAGGAAATAAAATCGCGTAGCCGTCTCCATCCAGGTCTATAAACGTAAGGTCGAGACGCGATACCGTGAGGCGTGGCGGCAGTCGCCGTGTTGGGGCTCTTTTGGTGCGTACGGTGTCTCTAGAGCCAAGCCGATTGAATTATTTTTCAAAAACATATCAATTATGCTGAAGATTCGTGCTGTGTGAGAAGACTACGGAAAATTCTTTTCCTCTTCTAGTCGATCGGGAACATCGGCCGTACAAGATCGCTGGAATATATTCGAAATTTCGATACAAATAATGCCATTTCCCGCATTGTAGCGATGTCTGGTGAAATGAAAAATCCGGTATACAAACTGGTTTTAATTGGACGCTTCTACGGGCCGTTTGTGGTAAAGCTTTAGTTTTCCGACGGACCGAAAAGTTTCCATTACATTTTAAAGTTTAATCACTTAAATTATATTTGCTAATAATCGACGGTAACTGTACAAATTGCGCATTCTAATAAATAATCGTTTTATGGTAAACTAACGGAATAAATAAAGTCCGAGTCCATATTTCTATTGCTGTTGAATAGATTTTTATAATTGTAGTTATTTAATTGTCTGTAAAAATAATTAAATTTAGTTTATACGCGTAACTTCATTTAGCAACTTTGTTATTATTTCTTGCAAACACTTTTGAACATTTACTTTACGTAATATATGAAGCGCGTAAGAATAGTTTTCTTTCCCCTCTTCCTCTAATTTTAATTTGTAGAAATGTTTCGTCCGAGCTCCCGTTTGCAGTTTGTGTAACGTAAAACTGCGGGTGAAAATAGAAAACTAAATGCATTTTGAAAAATATCTCCAAATTTCTTCTCTAATGTTGAATTTCGAAATTAAAATTTATCCTCGTATTTTATTATACGAATCGTTGACGTGGCCTTTTATTTTGAAGCCTATTTAGTTAAAGCCTTTAATTATATATGCCTTTGGCTAACGAATTTTACAATTCGGTACCGAAAAGCAAACCATTTAAAATATAACAAGAAATCCAACTAATTGAGATGGAAAGAAACAAACAGCTTGGCTCTAGAAACACCGCGCGCACCGAGAGCCCCAATATAGCCACTGCCGCCACGCGTGACGGTATCGCGTCTCGACCTTACGTTTATATA